TCCTTTTTTTGTTTTTTTCAAAGTTGCCAGGGCTAGAGCCAGGAACCGGTGGCTCAGTCTATAATCCTAATTACTTGGAGAACTGAGATCAGGAGGATTGAGGTTCAAAACTAGCCTGGGCAAACAGTTCGAGAGACCCCCATCTCCAAAATAACTAAAACAAAATGGACTGGAATTATGGCTCAAGTGGTAGAGCTCCTGCTTTGCAAGCATGAAGCCCTGAATTCAAACCCCAGTCCCGACAAAAAAGTTTCCAGGGCTAGAACTCATAACCTCTGGTTCCCATTCTGGGGTTTTTGTTGTCCTATATTTACTAATAGAGGGAACTCAAATATGATACATTTTAGAAAGGTTGTCTTCTCTAAGCATCAACATTTAAAATACAACTTTTCTACCTTCTAGTGAGTCAAAATTGTATTTAGCCTAAACCTCTTTCCTGTCCCAGAATGCTAGGAGCAGAAATTTCACTGTCAGAGAAATCATTACTAGCATAGCCTTCAACCATAGAACCTTCTGCCATAATGGAAATGTTTTCCATCTGTGCTGCTCAATATGGTAGCTAGTGTCACAAAGGAACTGGTTTTTAAATTTGATGTAACTATAATTAAATGTAAATAGCCACATGTTGCTGGTAGCTACCATCTTGGACAGTGCCTTAGAGTAGAGAGACGACAAATTGCTGTCCCTCTCTTGATGACCTTTGCATCAGGATCATCCAAATAACTTGTCACAAGTACAGATTCTGGGCCTAATGCCCAGTGACTCTGATTCAGCAGGTCTAGGAGGAATGCATTTTAAGAACCCATCTGGTTATTCTAACTTGCACTCAGGTTGGAAACCACTGCAGTAGAGAGTTCTTCCTTGGAGTAAAAGAGCAGAGGCAGAATCAGCTGTGGAGCCTTGGCCATGACCTAGGGAGACCAGAGCAATCTCCTGGGAAATGGAAGATCCTTGTGAATAAACTTTACGGACCCCTTCCCTGAAAAAATACAAATCACATATTTTTTTTTTCCCAGGGGCTCACAGATCTCCTGAACACAGACTAAGAACTAATCTTAAAGACATGACCCAGGGTTGATCTGGTAGCCCACCAGTCATTTCTTCCCCCAGACTTCTGCAGGGTTATGATGGCAACACAGAAGGAATGTGTGTGCACAGAGGCAGTGTGTATGCATCAGACCTGAAAGAATGCTGACCGAATTCTACTCCTTTTCTTTTCTTCTTTGTTTTCATGCGCTTGTGATGGAGGCTCTTGCCATTGCTCCAGAGAGCAGGAGGCTAAGTACATTGGAGGCAGAGTGGAGCTGGGACAGGGTCTAGGCTGAGTAATGGAGCAGGATCTTGACCTCTCTTCAAAGGCAGAGGCATAACTGGCTCCCACTTAGTCACCACTCCCCCACACATTGCAGAAGCTGTGAGCTGGGAGACAAGCCAGTGTCTAAAGCCCAGAGCTGGGAAGGCTACCTGACCAGCAATCCCAGGGTTAATGTAGAACCACAGAGAAATGGGGAGGGAGGAAGGGTGGGAAGGAGCAAGCCTGTGTGTACATATAGGAGAGCTGCCATCAGGCCAAAGTATCCCGAGAACAGAGCCATTTGAACTGTCAGTGAAGGTCTGAGTCACAGTCACATGGCACAGGAAAGTCAGCCACAGAAGAAGCTTTACCACTCTGGTGCCATGATTTTTCTGCCCCTGAGAGGTGAGGATCAGCCTGTTTTCCCTGTGCCCTTTACAGGTCCAGCTGCCATCTGCTGGGCCAGCTTCTCAGTAGCCTCCTTGTCACTCTGCCTGCCAAGCTGGGGATGAGTCATTGGGGAGTGGACAGGAGGCCTTGGCCTCAACTTCTCCCTGAGGAGAGGGTGCCTGGTGTGGGCGTGGAGAAGGATCAGGGCCTCTGGCTCACTGCCCAAGTAGCCACCAAGATGAAAGAATGGCTCCTGGGATGAGGGAGTGCCCCCACAGCCTCTCTAGAGGAATGCTAGCTCAGGATGAGCTTTCTAGAACATCATTGAGCCATGCAAGACAAGGGCCCCACCATCTGAGTCCAAGCACAGCAAGGTCTCTGAACAAGTGGGCGCCCTTTTCAACCTCATTTTCCTCATTCATTAGTGCGGCTCTCTGTTCATCTGTGGTGCTTGGGATCATCCTGCTTGTGAAGGTCATGAAAAGCACTCTTGATTCTTCCACTCCCTCCTGCAGCCAACATGGTTCTTCTCATTTGTGCTTTGATGTACTAGATACTGAGGCGCTAACCTCAGTATGGGGTGCAGGGCACCCCCTGCCTCAGGAGACTTGACTAGGGAGGACCATGAGATTCCCCTCCTGGGGATGGACACCCAGTCTGAAGAGTCTGGGGTCTGGATCCTGGCCCTGCTCTACCACATGTGGGTTGGGTGACCTTGGGCATGTTCCCACTTAGTTAAGCCTCAGGTTCTTCACAAAAGAACGAGGAGATTAAAGTAACTCCGAGCCCCCTATAAGCATACCTCTACTACTGGTAAGTTTGGAGGGCTTTTTGGTTTTTCTTCAGATAGCCATTGGTATAAAGGCTATAAAAGATCTAGGCCTTAGGTTAGTTCTGTGAGATGGAGGGGTTTGGGGAACAGGGAGATGAGAAAATGGTTATAGGAAGCTGGACACCAGCGACTCACGCCTGTAATCCTAGCTACTCAGGAGGCCAAGATCAGGAGGATTGTGGTTTGAAGCCAGCCAGGGCAAATAGTCCACAAGACCCTATCTCAAAAAAAAAAAAAAATTACAAAAAAGGGCTGGTGGAGTGACTCAAGGTGTAGGCCCTAAGTTCAAGCCCTAGTACCACTTAAAAAAAAACAGCCTGCCATTGAGGCCTTTCGCTCAACTGGAAATCAGAAAACCCCCTAGACTTCTTAAGGTGACTGTGAGTTTGCCCATTCAGCCTGCCCAGCATCTGGCCTCCAGAACCAGGCATCACTGCCAGAAACTTGGAGCTGCCCTGAGTTCAGACATGAAAGGAACAAATTAATAGAGCCCAGCAAGCCCCCATCTCATCTCCCAATCGAGCTGGCACCATCTTCCATAGCCGTCATAGTGGGAAAAGAAAGCCAGGCAGGTTCAGTAGGAAGAAGGCTTAGGCCTAGTATTCGTCAGCTTCCCACTATGTCCTTTACCCTAGCCTGATGAGGCAAAGGCCAGAGGCATTAGAGGTTTGGCTTCCTGTGGTCTGCCTTTCTGCCCCAAAGGCAAACAGGCCTTACCCAGGTTTTATGCCATTAGAGCAGGGAAGACTACACCTGTTAGTATCAGCTCTAAGACCAACCCACCAAAAGAAAGCGATTATTTAAAACCTGTCTTGGGACTGAGGCATGGCTCAAGTGGTAGAATGCCTGCCTACCAAGAACAAGGCTCTTGAGTTCAAATCCCAATACCACCAAAAAAAGCTATCTGCACTTGGTACCTTCTGAGAAATTGTCTAAAGCAAGTCACACCCCAGAGGGGCTCTGTCCTTTAAAAAGTCCCTGTCTTTAAAAAGCCTTCCAAGGTTGAGGCAGAAGGATCTGCCAAGGTTGAGGCAGAAGGATCAAGAGTTCAGGGCCAGACTGGGCTACGGAATGAGACCTTGTCTCTAAATAGATTAATTAATTAATTAATTAAGCTTTCCAAATGCTAACAATCTCAGATTGCCACTGTTCTCTTTCATGACAATTCTAGTCTACATGCTATTTGCACAGATTGTTGGAAACACAGGGCTCCTCTCCCATGTAGCTTCCTTGGGAAAGCACAGGACTGGTCAAGATGGAACCCAGAAAAAGGCAGAATCTCATGTTTTGTCCTCAGATTTCTAGAGGTATTGGTTGGTGTTAGGGCTTCCAATATAAATGCTACAACCTGTGTTTTCTGAAAGAAAAATGATTCCTAGAAGTTTTTAGCAAATGAGTTTGGACATTAGAAGAAGGAAGCATGTCATCCCTTCTGGAGAGCCACAGACAGATGCATCTTGGGAAAGGAGCCAAGTGGTGAATGCTGTTTGCAAGCTGAATATTAGACTTTGTGAGGTAGATAGACACACATATATTTATAACAGCCATGCACTACACAACAATGGTTTGATCAATAATTGGCTGCATGTATGACTGACCTCATAAAATTATATGGCCCAGTGATGTCACAGCCATCTTAGTTTGTGTAAGTACACTTTATGATGGCCACACAATGAAATTGCCTAATGACCCACTTCTCACAGTGTATCCCCATCGTTAAGTGATGCCTGACTTGCTAGGGGACAGAACAAAACCTTGATTCTTTCCACTTGGAGAAGAGCCACTGTGGACAGTGTAGATATGTCTTCTCTGAATGCAAGTTATATGTGGGGCCAATGAGGTGGTGGTTTTGAAGGATGGGATTGATCACCCTGTCTTGAAAAAGCAAAGTTTGCCAAACAGTAGGAAAAGATTCAGCCATTAAAAACAAAAACAACCAGCTCCCATGTTTGTGTCATTGCTGTTCTAGGGGGAGCAGGCTACTAGAATCTTCCTTTTTGGCCCAGGGGAGGAGTTTGTAGTGGGGTGCTAGTAGGGCCAAGGGTCCCACACATGGAACATGGGTAGATGTTGCAAAGTTGGCTCCTTGCCAGGCGCCAGGAGCTCATACCTGTAATCCTAGCTATATGGGAGGCTGAGATCAGGAGGATCATGGTTAAAGAGTAGCCTGGGCAGATAGTTTGCAAGACCCCCATCTCCAAAAAAACCAGCGCAAAAAAACAAAACCAGAGCAAAATGGATTGGAGGTGTGGCTCAAGCAATAAAGCACCTGCTTTGCAAGCACAAAGCCCTGAGTTGAAACCCCAGTCCTACTGAAAATAAATAAATAAAAGAAAGTTGGCTCTTTCACTGCTCAGGGTGTTTGGAGGATAAGTCCATGTGGCATAAAGAGGCCCCTGCGTTTCTCCTCCTTCTCAAGCCTGACCTGTGCCTGTCACACAGGTCTGGGATGAAGAGTGACCTGTTCTGTTTGACCTCTCTCAGGGTGAGCGTGAGCCTGGGAGATGGCAGTGATGGAAGTGGCCTGCCCAGGCACTCCTGGCTCAATAGTTGGGCAGCAGAAGGAACTCGCCAAAGCCAAGGAGAAGACACAGTCACTGGGGAAGAAGCAGAGCTGTGTCTATAAGCTTGAGGCTGTGGAGAAGAGCCCTGTGTTCTGCGGGAAATGGGAGATCCTGAACGATGTGATTACCAAAGGCACAGCCAAGGAGGGCTCCGAGGGTGGACCAACCGCCATCTCCATCATCGCCCAGGCTGAATGTAAGGACCTGGGGTGGTATGGTCATGGGGACAAGTGGGCAGTCCTGCAGGTGTGTGGCTAAGCATAGGAGAGGCCACCCTCAGCATTCCCTATAGAAGACAGAGGTCAGAGTGACCATTCTATAAGATTCTCATGAGACATAATTGGTGGCCTAAACCCAGAATCAGTGTGAAGTGAGGGCTATAAAGGTGCCATGGTAGAGCATGGGTGGCATGTGCCTATCATGACCAGAGCAGGTGAAGGGAGCTAAAAGGCAAGACTGCTGGGGGCTCTTTGCAGGATCAAGCAGGCCATTAACCTGCTGTGACCTTAGGCAACCCCAGCATCTGGAGAGTCCAGATAGGAAAGGCCAGGTCTTATGGAAAGCCCCTTGGGGCTTGCAGTCCCTTCACTACCTTCCACCTGAGATGGCCCCACCCCAAAGAATGAATACCCTGCTCTTAGGCCTGCTGAGCCAGTCTAGTGGCAGCTGGTCTCCTCAGGGTGAGGCCAAGTCTGGCCTTTCCACTTCTACTCCCGATACCTGGAAATAACGAGTAAGGGTGGCTGCCCCACAGACAGAAACTCCCAGGAGGGCTGGAGAGGGCCAGGAGTCCTCTCTCCATCACCCACCCTCCAGCCCAGGAAGTCTCTTGGGCTGAAACCCTGTGAGCCTGACAGCTCATGAGGGCATTTCCCACACATATACATCCTTTGCTTGTCTTCTACTGCCTTCTGGTTATTTTTTAAGGAGAGATGACAGAAAAAAATTTTCAATGGAGTGAGTACACACTTAAACACATACATATAAATACACAATAGCATATGTTTATTGAGCGGCCACTCTGTACCAGATGATATGTTGAGTGTTTTGGGGAGCCCATCCCATTGAACTTCACAGTAAGCAAAGTGAGCCAGGCACCCTATGATTCCCATTTTATAGAAACCCCCTCTTCTCTTGACCCATAAGCTTGAGGGAGGGTGGCCACCAGTGAGAGAAGGTGGTGATGGCTGGGAGATGAACCACCAGGTAAGAGGTAGTCTGAGAAGGGAAAGGAATGGCTCAAGAGGGTCTCTCTGTAAAATAGATCTGTCCTAAGTACAGAGTTCTTATTCTTTCTTCTCTCTGCTAATCCAGCCCCTTTTTCTTGACTTCAAGGTGAGAATAGCCAAGAGTTCAGCCCCACCTTTTCAGAACGCATTTTCATCGCGGGGTCACAGCAGTACAGGTAAGAAGGCAACAGAACACAGAGTGGGAAGAAGAGAACTGACACCACGCATTTCTCCCCCAGCTGCCTGCCCAGGCTGCTTCCAGCGGCCCTTGGCTCCCTGTTTCAGCACCTGGGCTGTGCTCCTGGCAGCCACCCAGCTTCCCTGGCCCAGCCACTCTCTCAGCCAAGTCAGCTTTTCAGAAGCTGCTCACGGCTCGCGGATGACTGCTGCTGGCTCCCATCAACTTGACGTTTTATTTTTATTCTCCTCTGAGTCCTTGAGGCACCCCTGGTTTCCCATCAACAAGGAGAGTGCCGGGAACAGCAGCTACTTCCCGCTGGTGTCCAGCCGTGAGTGCAGGTCCACAGGAGCCACTTTCTCTGTCCTCTAGGGAGACACCCAAGCTGTCTCATTCCTGTGAGACACACTGAGCAGCCATGAGGGCTGTGAAAACAGGAGGGACACAGACTCCAGCTACTCAGTGACCGGTGGAAGGAAGCCAGGGCTAGGTTCAGTCTGGCCCCAGTCTCTCCATTTCCCTAAAGATGATTTTTGACAACTGAGAATTCAACCTAGTTCCTTCCTCTATCACCAGGCCAAGTTTGTATCATCAGCATTTGCAAACAGCTAGTGCTAAAAGGGTCTGGACCAGGGCAAGGGGCTGCAGCCCTGGAACCAAGAAATGCTCAATGTTTGTTCCATCCCTCATGTCTTTGGCCCAGAAAAAATGAGTTTCTGATGAACCCACTTCTTTCAGCTGCCTAAGAAAAGCCTGCAGGCCTATAGCATTCCAGGCAGGAGGAATCTGTCTCCTTTGTTGGGGGCAGAAGGTAAGGCCAAGGGAGGGTGGCTGAGGCTGGGGTCTGCCCCACAGCAGTTTTGCAGCAGCCTTTTCGAAAGCTCTTTTGAAACAGTTCCTCTAAAACCTTGCAGGGGTAGGAGCCAGCTCAGCCTCGGTGCCACCACCAGAAAAGAGCAGGCACCTGGTAACCAGGCACCAACCAGTCTGTGTTTGGTAGCGCTCCATGGCAACTAGGTAGCCCCAGGTACCAACGGAGGTACAGGCAACAAAAATTAACTCACTCTTGTCCATCAGAGCTGAGGATGCCTGCCCTGATGTGGCCCCCTTCTGGGGCAGCCCAACTGGAGAGCAGCAGGAGGCCTGGGTGTGCTGCAGCCCCCGTCTAGAAGAGTTGAGTGTGTACCCCAACCCATAGTAACAGGCATGGTTGATGGGCGGCCTGCCTAGGGCAGTCACTGAACTAATAAGCTTTCCAAATGATCTATTTCAGCCTTTTCTCCACCCCACATGGCAGAAAATACTGTACTTGTTTTATAAATGAGAAAATTGACATTCCCGTGATTTAGGAAGGTACACACACTCACACAAATACAGTCATGGGTCACATCATGACATTTTGGACAACAGTGGCCCACATATATGAGAGTGGACCTCTAAGATTATATCACCTAGTGCCATCATAGCTGTCTTAGTTTATGTAATGCACTCTGTGAGGTTTGCACAACAAACTCATCTAACGCTGTGTTTCTCCGAATGTATCCCTGTAGTTAATGCATATCAGTAATGACAAAGGTGGGGTTTGCATTTGATTCTGTCTGACACCAAATGCAGTTCTCTGAACCATTCCATCTTCCTGCTTCCTTGTACTCAAAATGCAAATCTCTTCCTTTTTTGACAGCCAGTCTGAGGGTCTTGATCAAATCCCCAACAATGTGGCCCATGCAACTGAGGGCAAAATGGCCCGTGTGTGTTGGAAGGGAAAACGTCGCAGCAAAGCCCGGAAAAAACGGAAGAAGCGATCAAAGTCCCCGGCACAGGTGGATGTGGCCTTGGCCAAGCCCCTTCCCAGAACCCCTGAGCAAGAGAGCTGCACAGTCCCAGTGCAGGTGAGACACACTCCCCACCAGGGCCTAACTCGTGGGGCCTTCAGAATGGGGCCTGTGCCTTGGCCCTTGTGCTATGTCCTGACACCTGTGTTTTTCCTGCAGGAGGATGAGTCTCCACTAGGTACTTTGTATGTCAGAAACGCTCCCCAGTTCACCAAGCCTCTGAAAGAACCAGGCCTTGGCCACCTGTCCTTTAAGAAACTCGACGAGGGCCTTCGACCAGTGCTGCCTCGACCAGAACTCCACAAACTGATCAGCCCCTTGCAGTGTCTAAACCACGTGTGGAAACTCCACTATCCCCAGGACACAGGCCCACTGCCCCATTCTGCTCATCCCTTCCCCTACAAAAGACTGCCCCATCCCTTCCCATTCCACCCTCTCCAGCCCTGGAAACCTCACCCTCTGGAGTCCTTCTTCCTGGACAAACTAGCTGGTGTAGACAGCCAACAGCATCTGCCTGGTACACACCTAAGCAAACTGGCCTGTGTAGACAATCAAAAGCCCCTGCCTGGCCCACACCTGGAGCCTGGCTGCTCGTCCCGTGGCACTCGTGAGAAATTTTCTGTGGAGGAATACCTGGTACATGCTCTGCAAGGCAGTGTGAGCTCTGGACAGGCCCACAGCCTGGCCAGCCTGGCCAAGACCTGGTCAGCAGGGAGTTCCAGGGCCCAGAGGCTCAGCCCTGAAACTGAGGACAATGAGGGGGTCCTACTTACTGAGGTAACTAATCCCTCAAACTTCTGCACACATAACTCCACCACCAGCTCCCCGGCTGGGAGTCAGGATGGGGCCTGATGTTGACCAGAGGTTCACTCACTCTAAACCAGCTCAAGCGGCAGCAAAGTGCTTGCTGGGGATTGTGTTAGTTAGCTTTCTGTTACTGTGACAAAATACCTGAAATAATTAACTTAAAGGAAGAAAGATTTATTTTGGCTTAGTTTCAGAGGTTTCAGTCCATGGGCATTTGGCCCTGTTGCTTTGGGAACATCCTGGTGTGAGCACCTGGTAGAGGAAGATTGTTCACTTTGTGGCAGCAAGGAAACAAGGAAACAGAGGAAGGGGCCAGGGTCCATGTCCCCAAAGACGTAACTTCCTCCCATTAGGCCCCACCTCTTAAAGTTTCCACTACCTCCTGGTAGCACCATAGGCTAGTGACCAAGCTTTCAACACATGGGCCTTTGGGAGACACTTAAGATCCAAAAATCAGTTGTATCCACTTGCAGGCTTACTTTTCACAGCCTTTCTAGATATTTTTAGTTTTATTTCTTCCAATTAGCTATCTCATAATTGCTGATTTGTGTGTATTATATGAATAATATACCTTCTATGAAATAGGAATAAGCAAATAGCAACTGAAGATTTTATCTCATGACCTGATAGGAAGAGAATTTTGCCATCTTTACTACCACTTCCCTCCCTTTGCCTCTAGTTCTCTTCCTAGATAACTTGGAACTTTGATTTTACTCAACTTTACTTCTGGGTTTCATTCCATTCACTTTAACATTGTCCCTTTACCCTTGCCCCCTCTTATTGTTCCTCCCTTCTACCTTCCAACTCCTGAGTTGTTTTTTTTTTTTTTTTTTTTTATTGTCAAGGATGATGGCAATTCCATTTCTGTCCTCTCATAAGGACCAACTGGTCCCCCAGGTAGCCCATGGAGGTCTTTCTTTGCCTTCTTATTCCTCTAAGTCCCTCTCTGGGTCTGCCCTCCTCAGACACTGAATGATGTCTTTGGTTGTAATGCTTCAGCTCTCGTGGCCCTGGGAAGGGCCACTAGCTGGAGAACCCTCCTCGCTGTAGCCTTTCGTCCCTCTGCTACTCTGACCACTGAAACTGGCCTCTTTTCCTGCCAATTCCAGAAACTCAAGCCAGTGGATTATGAGTACCGAGAAGAAGTCCACTGGGCCACACACCAGCCCCGCCTGGGCAGAGGCTCCTTTGGAGAGGTCCACAGGATGAAAGACAAACATACAGGCTTCCAATGTGCTGTCAAAAAGGTAAGCAAAAAAAAAGTTACCCCAGGGGAAGACAGGCAGGGGCTGCTGCGTTCCCTCTGCTTTCTTTCAACCACAGTCACAGGGTAGTTGGGCTCTAACTTTTAATAACAGATCCTGGCCATCACTAGCTACCCTAGATCAGCTAGAACCAGAAGGGAGCAATTTGTCATGTGAGTCTGGTTGCTGCCTTTGGTATGTGTGTCTGTGAGAGGCAATGCGTGAGCACATAGCTTCAGGTCTGAATGCAGCCAGGGCCTGTAGGGGCAAGTCCAACCTGGAAGATAGTCAGAACCTCAGGAAATTCATGCTGAACCAAAACCCTTAAGCCACACAGTGGATCCACCCCACACCTGGATCAGAAGGTGATTACAGCAGTAACCTCCACCTGTTAGGTGCCTCCCAGCGGCAGACACTGGAGTTGGATCTGCTCTGAGTTGGAGGCCTGCCTCCTGTTAACCAGGTGCAATGTCCTGTGAGATGAACACCACAAGGAAACAGCTCAGCAAGAGACTAAGGAGCTGACCTAGTAGTAGAACTGAGTTTAGACCCAGATTTGTCTGACATAGGATGTGGCTTTGAGCCACTCTTCAGAAGAGGGGAAGGAAAGAAGACTCATGGTCCTAGGGGTCTTGATTAGTAGCAGAAGGCTCAAGTCATCTTTCCCATTCCTCATCTCCCCAATGACTTGACCAAGGCACCATCTAGGCCGAAAGCTGAGGCCCCCTTCTGTCACATCACACAGTCCAGCCCATGTGAGACTTGGGCAGCTGCAGGGGTCCACAGACCCCAAGGCTGTCTCCCTTCAGCCTGCTCTCACACCCCGGCTTCATTGGAAGCCATCTTGTTCTCAACCCAAACTCAGGACTATTTTCTTGGCCTTTGGGGTAGGGTGAAATAAGCTCAGAGACAGACGTTGTTTCATGTGACTTATGTCAAAGATGCTCTGATCCCCAAAAGGAAAAGGAACTAAGTAGCTAGATGCCCAGTACACTCAAAACCATGCAGAGTGTACTCTGCCACTGCTGTCATGGCTGCCTGTGGCTTGGAGAGTTGAGGTCCCAGCTGGGATGTGAGTAAGTCTGATTTCCTGAGTTTATACATGTTGAACTGTGAGAGTTCTCAAGTTTGAACCTCAGGGTAGTGGGATGAGATAACAATCTCTAAGTTTTACCCCAAACTTCAACAGACTATCAAATAAGCCAGCACCACCCTCCCCAACCCCCACTGGCAGAAACGCACTGAGTTTTTGCCAACATGGATCGTCTTCTTCCACTTGGATGCCAGGGCCGCGTGCCTGACCTCCTCAGCTGCAGTTCCCCTCCCCAGGCCACCAGAGAAGGCTCAGCTGTCCTCCTGAGAGGTGGTGGGAGGAGGGTGAGAGAGTGTGAAGTGTCCTAGAGACGGGTGCCCAGTGCTGGGAGCTTAGTCACTGGGCTTCTCAGCTGTTCCTCTGCTGAGGTCTTCTGAGTCCCAGGCAACAAGGTAAACAACCCTAATACAGTGCAAAAGAACAAATACTCCATTTCTCATTCCCTGCGCCCAGGGAGGCCAGGAAAACTCTAAGCACCGTGGCTGGCTGTCTCAGAACTCCCTCACCTTCCCAGCAGGAGCACCCAATGGGGACGGCTTGTTGGCAGTCCACATGACTGCCATGGGTAGAGCAGTCAGCCATCCCTCTCGGAAGGGTTAGGGCAGACAGTGGTATCCTGTAGGGTTTTCAGTAGGAAGACCACATGAGAAACCCTGGGGTGGGCGTGTAGCTTACTGGTAGATCATTTGCTTCCTAAGCATGAGGCCCTGAGTTTGATCCCCAGCCCTGCCAAAAAAAATCAGTTCCCCGATGAGGAGGTAGGGTCAGTGGAAGTGGGCTGGGGTCAGAATAAATCCCTGTCCCTCCACTGCTTCTGGGGAGGATCCAGAACATGTGATGTCACATGTTGATGCTAGCATTCCCTAGGTCTTCTAGTACTTCCTTGGCCTTAGGTCACAGGTCCAGATTTCATGAAGGGTTTTTAATTTTTTTTTAAAGATTTCTTTGCCATGGTGGCTCATGCTAATAATCCTAGCTACTGGGGAGGTAGAAACAGGAGGATCACGAGTTTCAGGCCAGCCCAGACAAAGTTAGTTAGACCCTATCTCACAAACAAAATAAAAACAAACAGTTAGGGGTATGGCTCAAGTGGTAAAACACTTGCCTAGATGCACCAGGCCCTGGGTTCAGTTCCCAGTAACACACAAACACACACACACACACACACACACAGAGACACAGAGGTTTTCTTTGATCTTACCTTTAAATAATTTGGGGGGGGGCAGTACTGGGGTTTAACTCAGGGCTTCACACTTGTTAGGCAGGTCTTTGATCTTACTTTTAATTGCAAACAAATATAGGCTCATTATAAAAGAATTCAAATGACACTCCCCCCAAAAAGCAAAAGTTTTCCTGCTCCCCACCCCATTCCCAAAGGTAAATGCCATTTGACATAAATCTTTTTAGACTTCTTTTGCATAAAGTTGTTTCTTTCATAAAAAATGAGATCCTACTCTACAGATTGCTCTGTACTATGATTTTTCCATATAATGTATATCACAGACAGAGTTCCTTGTTGGTATGTAACGCTTATGCTTTTTAATAGCTAATGTAACAGTTCCAGTCAGTGGATAGATTCACAGAACCCCTGAATTCCTGGAACTTGATTCAAATCTGTGTGTTGCGTATATGGTGTGTGCACACTTTGATGGACAAGGGTCCTTATCATTTATCACATTCTCAAAAGGGTCTGTGGCCCAAAGAGGGTTAAGAACTGTACATTTTAGGACATCTGGCTGGAACATGGAATTCTGGGAGCCTCCCTTTGGCTCTGTCACTGATCTGGGTGTAGTGTGGTCTTGACCAAGTCAAACCAGCTGTCACTGAGCACCTGCTTTGTGCCAGACGCTATACAGGGGGTAAGGATAGAGATGTGGAATCTACAGGCCTGACCTGAGAAACTCAAGTTGTAACCATGGTATGAAAGCAAAGTAGCCATCAGCCCTGAATACTTGTTTAGAATAAAAACAGGACAAGAACCGGGGGAGACTGTCTTGATGGTGATGAGGAAAAATAGGGGACCATTGGTATTTATTTCTTAAACATCTGTGCCTGTGTTAGTCACTTTCCCATAGTTTATATTCCTGGAATCTTCAAAAGAACTTGTAGAATTGAATTGCATATGTTCCCTTTTTTATGATGGAATAAAAAGCAGTCTCAGCATTAAGCAGGTCAAAGATAGAGCAACTGGCAGCTCTGGTGCTCTGTTCCCAGTAACCTTGGACAAGTTCCTTGTCTAGTCTTCAGCTTCCTCATCAGAGAAATGGGGATAAATGACACCACCACATCACAGGCTGTTGTGAGATGTAGGTGACCAATAATTAGGAGGTGCTGAAACAGTAACTAGCTTGTCAGTGGGCATTGACTGTTAGTTCTCAGCAACATCCCCATCACAGTCCAGTGCCCTTGCTTTGGGCATGAGGACACTGAAGTTTGGAGAGGAGAGGTGGGTCAGTTAGGCTTCCAGCCTGAACTGGGAGGTGGGAGGGTTCCTCCACTCAACTGTCAGGACCACGTCTTTGCCTTGCTTCCTTGAGATCAGCCAGACTTCTTAAGCACCTTATTTTGTAAGTTTTTCCATCCCACCCACTTTGGTCTAGGTGTTGGAAATGTTCTAGGATTGCTGAGACCCTCTAGAGGAGTTACAGATTTCTTAAAGGTTTTCACACTGTCATGGTTCATAGCCCTTAATATCTGTCAATTTTTTATGGCACCCCAAGCCAAAACAAACACCTAACTTCCCTTTATTAATTGGTTAGGTCTAATAATAATTTAGGTTATCCTAAAAATGACCAGCTATTGAAAAGCAATTCACATAAGTCGAAAGGAAAAAAAATCTTTGTATGCTTTTTTTTGGCAGTACTGATGTTTGAACTCAGGACTTCATGCTTGCTAGGCAAGTGCTTTACCACTTAAGCCATGCCCCCTTCCCCAGCCCTTTTTGACCTGTTTAGTTATCTTTCAGATAAGGGGCTCACTTTTTCGCCCAGGGCCAGCCTAGGACCAGATCCTTGTACTTACGGCCTCCCATACAGCTAGGACCATAAATACACACCACCATGCCTGGCCCAGAGTAGTTTCTATCACAGCATCCTGAAGATGTATCACCAAAAGGAATTTGGTACAATCTGATGTTGGAACTGAACCATCTCAGCCAAGTATGTCACACCATCTCCTGCACATACGAGCATCTATTTCCCTCAAATGCAAAATAGCCTGTTGTGTCCTTCTGAGTTCTCTGTAGTGCCCTGGAGCACCTCATCTCACAGTCTGGCGGTGGTAAGACTAAAGACACTTGCTAGTGCAAGTCCTGTTGGTAAATTAGACCTAGTCAGGTTCAGTAGCCATTCAGAGGAAGCACTGACCAAAAGTCAAAGTTCACATGAGTTAATAAACCAAAGCAGGTATTCTTTAAGTAACCAGAAGAGAGACAGTTTCCACTGATAGGCAAACGTCTGAAAGTCCCACATTGCCAGAGCTCCTGCTTGCCAAGTCAGCAGGTCTCCATCCATCTAAATAAAACTGCAGGAGAGCCCTCCCACACCTCTTCAGGCTTGTCTGTTCCCACTGGCGCCCCCTGGTGATGCTTGTTTTTTGCAAAAACAAGCAGCAAGAAAGACCCTAGGAAGAAGTGTTTCATAAGCTATTGTCTGAGCTGGTGAGAGAAAGTGGGCAGTTAGCACTTCCTGTGTCTCCACTGGTCACCAGGCACAGACCTGGCTAGCATCCTTCCAGATCCTTATGCCACCCTGGAGCTGGCACCACTGTCCCCACTATTCACATATGGAAACATGGCTGATGGGAAGCATGCACCCATTTTTTAAATGGCCTGGACGTCTGTATCCATGGTCCAGTTCTTCCTGCTGTGCCAAGCTGCTGGTCCCTGCAGAAAGGAGTGAATGATGCCAGTCCACAGCAGGAGAGGCACTGGCCAAATCCCTCTCCAGAAGTCTTGCATGTGCCCAGGTGCTAAAGAAACAGCTGCAGAGAAAATATAAACACAGGACTGTCCACGTGGACATTTTAGTCTTCTGGGGAAGAGTGAAGAAAAGTGCTGTGAGGGCTGCTATGGATCCAGAGGCACCTGACTGAGCCAAGAGTGGTGGTACATGCCTGTAATCCCAGCAGGAGGATGTTGGTTTGAGGCTGGCCTGGGCTACAATAAGATACTATCACAAAAAAAAAAAAAGCACCTGACAGAGTCTTATAGGTAAGAAATTGACTTTGAAGAGGAGACATGGATATTGATAAAAGACTCATGTCCTAGAAATTTTCCAGACAGTTGGACTGAGGGAAATGTTGTGTTTGGCTGATTGTGGGGTGGCGAGCCTGCCTGAATAAGGACTGTGGTTTCGTGTGGCTGTTTTTGCACACACTCAGCTCTTGCACCTGACATCAGTTTAGTCCGAGGGCCCAGCAGCCCCTCTTGGCTCTTCCATTGTGAGTATTAGCAGACTGTGTGTGTGGAGCCCCAAGGGTCCTGAGAGGATACAGGCACTCTGTGACCCTGACTCAAGTCACCTCTGGACCCTTCAGGTGCGGGTGGAAGTGTTTCGGGCAGAGGAGCTGATGGCATGTGCAGGATTGACCTCACCCAGAATTGTCCCTCTCTATGGCGCTGTGAGGGAAGGTCCTTGGGTCAACATCTTCATGGAGCTACTGGAAGGTAAGGTGCCAGGTTCCATTTTTTTCTCCCTCATAACTCAAGGCCAAGGGTAGCCCTAATCTTGCCCAGGTTGGCCTTGGTCTCCAATTGATCCACACTTAATCTCTTGGCTCTTCGACACCTGCAGGGAAGTCCTGCTTCCCCACCACTTGCCCTTCACTCTTGGCCTTGGCTTTCGTGGAGGTTGGGAAAGCCCCGTGTGAAGACTGGCCATTGGTCTCCTAGGTGGCTCGCTGGGCCAGCTCATAAGGCAGAAGGGCTGTCTGCCGGAGGACCGCGCCCTTTACTACCTGGGCCAGGCCCTGGAGGGACTGGAATACCTCCACACGCGAAGGGTTCTGCACGGAGATGTCAAAGGTGAGCCTCCCCTTCCACACCCCCTGCCCTAGTCCCTGCGGGCTGTTCCCACCTGGTCGTCTCCAGTGGCAGGGCTGAGTAAGCTGACAGGGCTATGCCCTGTGGGAAGGGAATGATGTTCTCCAAGCCCTCAGTCTGGCACTACAGTTTTTGGTGGGTAGTGTCCATAAAGAACTTAAAACCAAGCTCCACCCACTGGTGGCCTCTGAGAGAGAGTGGGGCAACAGAATAAAAAGTGGCATTGTTCCCAGTAAACCCTGCTCCTGTCCCTCACCATCGAAGATCCTGCCTGATGCCTGCCTCTAGTCTGAACTGATACTTCCTCCCTTCTTCCATGACTAATGAAACTAATCAGAAGCAGCAGCTGCCATGTAGGGTCAGCCAGAAAATTATCTCACTGGAGGCCAGGCCAGGCCAAGACGGGGTGGGCTGGGACCAACATGACTCACCTGTTCTCCTTCCTCTCCCTCCTCTTCCGCCTACAGCTGACAACGTGCTCCTGTCCAGCGATGGGAGCCGAGCAGCCCTCTGCGACTTTGGCCATGCCATGTGCCTGCAACCTGATGGCTTGGGGAAGTCCTTGCTCACAGGTAAGTCCCCAGATTGCCTCTCCTCACAATGACCATAGCCAGTGGCCTTTACTAAGCGTTAACCTTGTGCCTTTCTGTGCTCTCCGTAATGGGAACAAGTCACATGAGTGCTGTATGGCCCCAGGAGATTTCAGCCCCACAACCACCCTGGGTTATTATAGGCTTTTGTTATGCATAAATGGACGTGAGGTATTCATTTCAGATACTCCCTAAGTGTAGTAATGGACATCAGGTGCTCATTTCAGATGCTCCCTTACATAGCGAGAACAGAATGACTAAGGACCTTGCCATAAGTCTCAGACTATATAGCTAGTGAAATGTCTACTTTGAACTTCCTTTTTTTTTTTTTGAGACAGGGTCTTGCTATGTAGCCCAAGTTAACCTCAAATTCGCCATCCTACTGCCACAACCTCACAAGTGCTGGGATTACAGGTGTGTTCCACCACACCTGGCTTTCTGGTTAAAAGTATCCATGCTCATTCTAAAATAATTGCTAAGTACAGAGTTAAGTGATATCAAAAAGGACAAAAAAAGAACTCTCACTATTCCTTTTGGCCAAAGAGATAATCATGAATAATTTATATAACTCCATGTTTTCCCCCGTGCTTAGTTAAGGCCATTATAAATCAGTTTTGTGATTGATTTTCATTTATAACCCTAAGCAGAAAATGGTTCCATTTTGACCAAAGGAAAGGCAATCTTTTAGAAGTACAGGTTGAGCATACCTAACCCAAAAATGCTCCAAAATCTGTACCTTTTTGAGCTCACATAAGAACTCACAATCGAAACTCAGGCACACTAAAATTATTATATAAAATTACCTCAGGCTATATATATAACACATAAAAGAATGTCATGTTTACACTTGTCCCATCCCCAAGATATCTGATTGTGTATATGAAAATATTTCAAAACCAAAAAAAAATTGAAATCCAGAATGTTTCTGGTTCCAAACATTTCGGATAAGGATACTCAACCTGACAGAGGTGGTGTGTCATTAAAGGTCTTTGTGGGTGATTCTGAAGGTGTAAGTTGGATACCTGATCTCTACCTTAAAATAACTTCAATGGTTCTTTTGATAGTTTATTACAAAAAATAATATCTTTTTTTAGTATATTTTGAAGAATGTAGATCTGAGCAGAAATGTAAAGTACAAATCACCAGAAAAAAACACTGTTAACATCTGCTGGTTGCTCCTTCTAGTCTTTTATGCATGCAAGTTTTCTACTACTGGCTGTTCTTTTTCTCATGTAGCTAATATTTCAGGAACATCATAGCAGTAATAAGCCTTCTATAAGTGAATTTCCAATATCCACCCCCCTCCCCACTAAGGCTTCAGTCTGGAGGGCAGAGCCTGTGGGTAGTTGCTCTGCACCTGTGTCCACCAGCTAAGGCCCTGGCTGGGCTCATCGCCAGTTTGACTTAGAGGCTTTACATCTTTGAAGAGCTCCAACTGGGGCACAGTCACTACACCCCAGAGATGAGCTGGAGTGGACATTGCATAGGCTCTTGCCCACCTGAGTTCACAGACATTTCCATCTCACCCTTCTCAGGGGACTACATCCCTGGCACAGAGACACACATGGCCCCAGAGGTGGTGATGGGGAAGCCCTGTGATGCCAAGGTGGATATCTGGAGCAGCTGTTGCATGATGCTACATATGCTCAACGGCTGCCACCCCTGGACTCAATACTTCCGAGGCCCGCTCTGCCTCAAGGTCAGTGATGGCACTCAAGATGGTGGGGAGAAGAGACCAGCAGGGTCACAGGCCTGGGCCCTAGGCTTGAGGAGACTCCCATTTTGCCTACTGTTCTGCCTCTTCATAAATGTGTGGTCCTGATTAAAATACCAGACACCCAGATCTGTGTGTACTAGGCAGCATCCCAGCCAGAAGGTCTTGTAGTTCATAGCAAGTTCAAGCACTTCTGTCCATGCCTTGGGCCCCCTCCACCTGCCTCCTACAGGCTGGGCCTGGAGGACATGAGTGTCTTGTCACTGGGCTGCCTGTCCCACCTGACTCCTTGTTTTCCTTTTCTCAGGAGAGTCCCATCCTGGCTATAGCTCAGCCCCCTCCATTCCCTTTGGCAGACCCCCGTCAGCATGGCAGCAAGAGATGGTAGAGAGCAAGAACAGAAGGCTGGGTGCTGGAAATAAGGGGGGGGCAGGCCTCATGTGTTGTCTTTTGGCCCCCAGATTGCCAGCGAGCCTCCGCCTGTGAGGGAGATACCCACCTCCTGCACCCCACTCACCGCCCAGGCCATCCAAGAGGGGCTGAGGAAAGAGCCTGTCCACCGAGCATCTGCCGTAGAGCTGCGAGGGAAGGTCGGCTGGGCACTGCAGCAAGGTAAGAGCCAGTAATGGTGGCTCTCCCTAGTGTGCCAGAGAGCCATGGCCGAGAGAGGGACTGGGCAGGGGTGGTGAAAAATGAGGTACCCAGCCTCTCAAAGCCTCAGTCTCCCTTTCTGGAGTACAGGAATGACCCCAGCCTCTGGGTGCTGGGAAGATTGAGGTAGCGTGAGAACCCATGCTTAGAACAGAGGCTGTGCTGGAGAACTGGGGGTGGAAGGGCTCGAACCCATCAGGGATAGAGTGCAAAATAAAGCCAGATACCATTTGACAGCCATTCAACTGGGAAAATTCACCCGGCGCTGGTGGGGCAGTGGGGCTCTTAGGCACTGCAGGAAGGTACGTGGATAAGGCTGCAGCAACTCTGGAGGGTGCCTGGCAGCACTCAGGAAGACGTCTGTACACCCAGACCCCAGCCTTTCCACTCCTGGTGCTGAAATCCCACCAGCTCCGTAAGGGCATACATCTGAAGAACTGCACTTCTGCCTCATTGTGGGAGGGGATGTTGGATGTGATCAGGAGTCCCTCACCGGGGCAGTGGAGAGGCAAATGGTGGGGAATGAGACACCACCCAGCACTTAAAGCCACTCAGCACTCACAGGCAGTAGGGACTAACCTGAAAGCATAGTACTGGGTGAAAAGAGGAACCTGTAGATGAAGTCGGGGAGCATAATTAATAAATAAAGCCACACATTTTGCAAGAATGCAGTCAAAAGTAAAGAGTGAGGTTAGATGAGATGGTATGCACCTGTAACCCCAGCACTCAGGAGACTGAGGCCAGTTCAAGGCCAGCCTGGGCTACAAAACAAGACTGTCTCAAAACAAACAAAAAGTGACGTGTAGAATATAACAGAATGTCACTTAGCCTCTGGGAAGGGAACAGCAGTAGTTATAGGAATGAAAGGGAATAAATAAAACAGGAGAGAGACCTTGCTTAGTTCCTTACCAAAACAGGTGATAGTCACAAGGGTAAGAATGGTCCCTAGGTCCAAACCGCCCCACACCAGTGCAACGGTGGCCTGGGGAAGCCACAAGTCTAGGGACAGGAGTGAGACAGTGGGTCACGGAGGATGCTTAACTTGGGAACTCTGGGTGAAGTTGCCCCAGAGCCTTTTGTTTCTGTGGTGCTGCCTTACCACTGAGTTACATTCCCACACTCCAGAGTCTTTTAATTTGTTGTTTATTTGGCAGTACTGGAGTTTGAACCCAGGGCCTCATGCTTGCTAGGCAGGCACTCTTCCACTTGAGCCACCCCCAGAGCCTTTTAAAAATCTTCTCACTCTTAACAAAGTTCTCTGGAGCAGATTTCGTTGTTTTGGAATTTGCTGATACCAACACAGAAATGCAGTCCTGTTCCTGTTTATGGGCCATCTCTCTCTTTTTTTTTTTTTTTTTTTTTTTTGCAGTACTGGGGTTTGAACTCAGGGCCTCACACTTGCTAGGCAGGTGCTCTTCCACTTGAGTGGGACCATCTCTTGAAGAGCCTCCTCTGGAGATCACCAGACTGCCTCCCATGGGGGGCTCCAGCAAGTCCCTCTGGCCTTCCACCTAGGAGAGGCCATTCCTGCCGGGACTGACATCCGTACATTAGAATGTTTCCATCTCATCATCACGTGGGCTCTCTCTTACAGTGGGAGGTCTGAAGAGTCCTTGGAGGGGAGAATATAAAGAACCAAGACATCTGCCACCAGACCAAACCAACCATCACCAGACCCTACATGCCCAGCTGACTGAGCATGTGCCAACACAGGACACCGCAGGCTGGGCCCCTAAGCCTCAGCCTCCTCTACCACCAGAGCCACCAGAGCGGAACAAGTCCCCAGCACTGAACTTGAGCAAGGAGGAGTCTGGCACATGGGAACCCTTGCCTCTGTCCTCCCTAGACCCAGCCTCTGCTAAGGGCCACAGCTCACAAGAACGGAGAGCTACCCTTCCCGAGCTGGAATTGCAGCAGCTGGAAATAGGTAGGGTGGCCAGACTGTGGCCAGGGCCTAGGACCCCTGAGTGCCCGCCCTTGGCTTCCCACTGAAGCCTGGGCTTCTCTCCATAGCAGCCTGACTTTTCTTCCAGCCCCTTCCCTGCAGTCTGCGCAGGAAGAACCCTGGCACCACAGTGCTTCCTCCCAGCCTCCCACAGTCATCTTCTGCTTTTCCCTGCAGAATTATTTCTGAACAGCCTGTCCCAGCCTTTTTCTCTGGAGGAACAGGAGCAAATCCTCTCATGCCTCAGCATCGACAGCCTTTCCCTGTCGGAGGACAGTGAGAAGGTGAGTCAGCTGTGGACCAGAAACCGGTTCTCCTGGCCCTGGCACAGAGCAGGTGGCTTTGTGTCTAGCTGGAAAACAGGCTGTGTGCAAGTGGTGGGTAGGAGAGGGTCCTCACTGGGGCACAGGCTCATGGCTTCTGAGAGTGAAGCAATCCATCTTCAACACACCTGGGAAGGGGTGTAGTGGGACTAGTCCCTTGGTCCCCATAGAAATACAACTTTACCTCCTTCAGCCTAGGACAGTGAGCAGCTCTTCACCTCCAGGGAGGGCCCAGGCCCCTTTGCCCCAAAGGAGACCAAGGCCAGAAATGATTCCCTGAGTGCAGGAGCCTGAGTCTGTGCCCATTCTTGTATTCAGAATCCATCAAAGGCCTCTCAGAGTTCACGGGACACCCTGAGTTCCGGCGTGCACTCCTGGAGCAGCCAGGCGGAGGCGCGAAGCTCCAGCTGCAACATGGTGCTAGCCCGGGGACGGCCCACTGACACCCCAAGCTACTTCAATGGTACAGCAAACTTTTTCCTGCTCACCAGCTCCCACACCAGCTGGGCTGCCTGGGGCTGTGGGGACAGGGAGGGGTCGTGGCTCTGCCCTTGGCACAGGAGGAGGGGTCCTTGGTAAATAAGTAAACAAGTCAGGTTTAGAGCAAAGCTGTGGCCATCCATAAGCCTTTCCTGATTGGCTGCTGAGGGAGTCCCAGAAGGCCTCCATCTTGGGGAAAAAAGCAGCCTTTTCTGGCCTGGGGTCTAGAAGCTGAGTAATTTATGTCTTCTGAAGGGAAGAAAAAAAAAAAAAAGGAACAGGATTTATGAGCATTTTAATCAAGTTTGCAACATGAAATAAATAAATAAGAAGTCTGACAATTTTGCTGGAGTCCTCCCCTGGGATTTGAGGCCAGAAGAGAAAGATGACATAAGTTTGTTAATTTTCAAGCTTGGTTGTGATTTTGCTACAATAAGAGTGTCATCAGCTCACAGGTCCCCAGCTTTCCCCAGGGTCAGCGTGACTCATTGCTTCAGGCCCCCATTCCCAGGCCAAAGACCACTTTCCTCAAGGAGCAATCTAAGTTGCCCACAATCTAATTTAAGAATCTTTGCATTCACTTCATTTCTTCCTCTTCATCCCAGCCAGACCTGCTCTCCTCTACAGAGGGCACAGTGACTTTCAACTAAGATTCCCCCAGACCTTGGTGGGTCCCTGCTCCTTGGGGAGCCAACAGCTGCTCTGCTCTCCTGATTGTCACCCTGCCTGCCTTCTAGGTGTCAAAGTCCAAATACAGTCTCTCAATGGTGAACACCTGCACATCCGAGAGTTCCACCGGGTCAAGGTGGGAGACATTGCCACGGGCATCAGCAGCCAGGTAAGCGGACAGGTACACACTTAAGGGAGAGTCCCACCCTCCAGGAGGAAGTCTTTCAAATAAGTAGAAATATCACTATAGGGAATAGTTGAATATGGCCTCAGATGACCTACCCGCCCCAGGATCTCAGGGCAAAACTAGCAGTGGTGGTTGGGTGTCCTGAGGACTCACACTGGGCCAGATGGGATTTTCCCACACCTCCAGAATGAAAGACAGACAGTGCCTCAAGCTTGCATGTTTGGGTAGAGAGTGATGTCTCTCAGCTTGTTTGGGGACCATCGGCTTTACACTTCTAAGTAGCTTCTGTCTCATTGGTTTGCTCCATCCCCAGATCCCAGCCCCAGCCTTCAGCTTGGTGACCAAAGATGGGCAGCCTGTTCGCTATGACATGGAGGTGCCAGACTCGGGCATTGACCTGCAATGCACCCTGGCCCCAGATGGCAGCTTTGCCTGGAGCTGGAGGGTCAAGCATGGCCAGCTGGAGAACCGACCCTAGCTCTGCCTTCCGTCACCGGCTCCACTGCTCACAGCAGCCTTCCTTCTCAGTGTTCAGTACTGCCCTGAGACACAGGCTCAGCCATCCCGAGGATCTGCTGTCCCCTGGCTCAGCAGTGAGACCAGGACTGGCAGCAGCAAAGTGGGGACCAATGAAATGCCTCCCAGGACTTCCACCTGAGTCCTGCCCACCTCTGTAAGGGAACTCTCCACCCATGTAAGGAGATGGAGAAAGCAGGAGAGCTCTTCCCTCAGGAGCAGAGAGGGGGTTCTCTGTGCTGCTCCAAACAAGTTGGCCTGACCTGTCTGGGTCAGTGACCACTTGCCAGCCTGGGTCAGGAGGGGTGGGTGATCCCTCTGGGCCCCACAGCCCCCAGGCAGGTGTGTAGGTGTTGAGAGTCTAAGGACCCACACCCAGGTGGTGCAGATGCAGAGCATCAGGTGTGCCTGCCGTGGGGTTAGTGAGGCCTCTGGCCCCATGTCTGGTCTCCCTGGCCATCCACCTCCAGTGGGATAGAGCAGGAAGGAAAGCCCAATACTGGGCAAGCTCTTTGGTACAATGCACATTTTCAGGTTGTTGCGTCATAGCTCCTGAGTTGAACTTCTGTTCATCCATGAACCAAAAAAGGAACTGAAGTTGTTCTCAGCTCCCAAGCACGTGTCCCCTTGCTGCTGGTCACTCCTCCCCAGAGCAGCACTCCCAGCATCCAGACCCTGACTAGCTGGCGCTCAGTTCCCTCATCCATGAAAGTGAAGGGTCATATGAGACCCACCTGACAGGAATGGTCTGTGGACAAGACAGTATAGATGCTGAAGAACACAGCAGGTGTTAGCACTGCTACTCCCTAGCCATGCTGTCACTCTCCAGCACTCCGGCTTCCTGGTCACAGGGCACTGCCAGCTGCACTTTGCACTCTTAACTTCAAAGCACTTTCCTGGCTGCCCTCCAGGAGGACATGGACTCTGCACGGGCACAAGTAGACCAGGGGACGGGTAAAGGAACACAGTCCTGACCCATCTCCATGAATGTGATCCCCTCAAGCTTCTTTCGGATTTAAAATGAGTGCCCCAGCCCAGCCTGTTCTCTGGGGGGGAGCTACTCAGGACTCATGTAGCATTAAATCAACTGTGAATCATTGGGGGGAGGGACATTGAGACCCCTCCTCTGGAGAAGCTGATCCCTACATGGAGCTAAGGTGGTCTCTGCTCAGCTTTTTGCATGGAGCCTGGCTGCTCCAGAGAGAGACCCCGGCCCCAGCACATGAAAAACTGCAGCCCTGGTGCTGTAGCATTTGCTTGTATAGAGCTCTTGTAAGAAATAAAACTTGCAGTGAGGACAGATGTTTCTAGGCCATTTTTTTTTTTGCCAGTTTATTCTTTCTGAAATAAACCTTCGTGCTTTAATCTATTTGCCTTTTACTTACTACATCTTGATGACCTTTCCCCTCTACGAATCCCAATTTTCTGCTTCTACAGAGACTTTTTTTTTTTTTTTTTTTAAGCAATAATAGGTTTTGAACTCCACAGCAGCTAGGCTTGCTAGGCAGGCGCTCTACCACTTGAGCCACTCCACCAGCCTCTAGGCCATCTTGCTTGCCTGCTTGCTGTACCCCATGACCCCATCAGCTGCCTTCCTTAGCCTCTGGGTGGGCCTCTGCAAGTCTCCCCCTTGTTTGGGGCAAGATCTGTCTTCAAGCCCTTAACTGTGGTGTTTCTAGTCTCATCTCTGGGCTATCCATCACCCAATGGCAGCAGGGAAGTCCCTAGCCAAACTGAGGGAAAGGATGCCAGGCGGCACACTGCCAAGGCAAGGCAGCCCAGTACCACCAGAAGGGAAATCAGGTGGTGTGCTGGGCACTGAGCAGACACTGAGAGTGGGTGCATGCTGCATACCTCCATTTACCACGCCTGCCTGAGGCCTGGTGTCCAAAGAACTGACTGGGTATAGACCCGATCATCTGCATGGGGTTTTCATGACTTTCCCAGAGTGAGTTCCTTGGTCATAGTGCAGAGCCTGGCAGAGGATGGATGCCACCTCACACAGAGTGCCCTATCTGATCTGCTTCCAAGCCCCCGAAAGCCGTGCAGAGGTGTGTGTGCTTTGCACACATGTGCAACTTGGGTTGGTTTAGCCGATTCTTGGAAGGGTCCTGGGCCAAGGGCAGAGACCTTGTGCCCAATGTGCAAACCATAGACTCCAGCTTACCATTGCTCACCGTCCTCACGCTCGGCGGAGGCGCGGCAGCCCCAGGTCTTCCAAGAGGCTCCCTGCGCCGCCCACGCCCACTTGCGGGCCAGGAAAATTGAGCGCGGTTTTCTCCCTGCGGGGTCCCTGCGGAACGTCACAGAGGCGACGACATCACAGGCGCCAGCGCCCCAATATCTCTAGCGCCCCCTACCTCCCCACCAGCCAAAGAGCGCACTGGAGGAGGAGGGGCAGAAGCCACCAGCCCGCTCCCTGCCTCCCGGACAGAACCTCCGTCAACATGGGGATGACAGGTGGGAGCGGGCCGGCGCGCGGGCGGTGGGGGCGGCGGGCCGGGTGGGGAGAGAGAAAGCGAGAGGCAGAGGAGTCAAGCTGGGGCGCCGGAAGTGAAAGTGAACCCCAGCCAAGCCCCTCTCGCCCCACCCCCACCCCGCGCAGTGCAAGCCCGTGTGCACGCACCGGCGCACGTGCTCACTTTGGGTTAAATTCCGTGCGTTCTTGGGAGGGGCTCTGCGCCCACGGAAGGAGCGGTGGCATTGTGTCCAAAAAACGACTCATGAGTTATCCCAAACTACAAATAATCAAAAACAAATTTCTTCCAATTGTCAGTTGGTGCCTGGAGCTTTTGTAGGGAGGAGCGACAAATATTTACGGATTGCCTCCTTGTTGCCTTGTGCCCTCTTCTGAGCCAGTGAACAAAAAGGTCTTCCCTTTTCATGTGGAGGCTCAGATCTCCCCTGAAATGGGGCTTTCCTCTGGACGCAGAAGGACTTGGACCAGCATTTAATATGTGCCAAGAATCCACAACTAGAGGGCACCTTCCCCCTTTCCCAAAACTCATAGAGTAAGAAATTTTCACAAACATCCTAAATCACTCCTATGACATTTATTTTACTCCTTTCAAAGCGTACCCTTGATCCCAGAGTCTGGTAGTTGACTAAACAAAGGTGAGATGCAGGTTAGACAGCTTGAGTTTGTCAGAGATGACACTGGGTTTAAATTGAGTTTTCAGGCAAGTATAGGATTTTACCAGGAGAAGGCTTTCCAGGTATAAGAAATAGCATGTGCAAAGGGACAGAGACACAAAAAGCGACCCCCATGCTTAAGTTTGGGGCAGGGGACCTGGAGCAAGATGCCAAGAAAATGAAAAAAGCAAGCAGAGGTTGGACCATGCAGCATCTTTGAGGCCACAGTTGAGTCTGGATGTGATATAGCAGACCATCTCAGTGAGAAGCCAGACTGGAGGGAATATGGTTGTAGTCATCCAGCTGGAATCAAAGATTTAAGACATCACAGTACTTAGCATCCCAGAGTTTGGAGCCAGCCAGACATGCTTTCGGGTCAATTGCTGCTGTTCATAGATGTGTAACCTTGTGCATGTTTCCTCATCTGAGAGGAGAGCCGTGGCCACCTGTGCACAGGGAAGTTACAAAGACAATGTGTGCAGAGCACTCAGCCCCAAACACCAGCACACAGTAAGTCCTAGGTTTGTGTTGGCTCTGGTACTGAGAGGAGAGAGGTGGTGGGGTGGAAAAATGGTTCAGGCAAGTTAAGCATTAGAGGTAGAAAGGTCAGGAGCTGCAGAAGTGTGGGGGAATCACAGGTGACTCAGGGTTCTAATTTAGTTGAGAGCATGAAGGATGAATCAGGGTGAGAGGAAAGAGGGACCTACCAAGAGATGAAAGTTTGGCCAGGTATGCTGTAAATTGTAATCCCAGCTACTCAGGAGGCAGAGGTAGGAGGATCATGGTCTGAGGCCAGCCCTGGCAAAGCTAGTGAGAGACCTTATCTGAAAAACAAACCAAAAGCAAAAGGATTAGGTGTGTGGCTAAAGTGGTAGGGCACTTGGCCTAGGAAGTTCAAGTATGGAAGGAAGAAAGGAAGGAAGGAAGGAGGGAGGGAGGAAGGGAGGAAGGGAAGACAAGGGTCAGGCATGCAGAACCCCATTGGCCACTCTAGAGTGGAAGCAAATGCAGGATAAACCCCAGGGTTTGTCAAAGTGAGAGTATTACCAACTTCATTTCTTTACAAAGACATTCACTAAGCATCCACCATGTGCCAGACTCCTTGCTGGGGACGAGAGACCCTGCGGAGGGTCTTAGGAAGGGTCTGCTGGTTATAAAATTCTGTGAAGTCTGATCAAGTGCTCAGGTGGAGGTCTGCAGCAGGGAGCCTGGGGCCACTGGAGGAGCAGTGGGGTCTGGAAGGCCTCCAGAGATTGGTGAGGAGTCAGGAGCTTTAAGAGGGAGGAGAGAAGGGAAGGGTACATAGTGTTTTGAACACCATGAGTGTGGGACTCCTTCAGGGAAAATGGTACAATCAGCGACTGGAGTTTAGGTCTAGAGCTCAGGAAATAGCAAATAGATTGAAGAGTCTGCTGTGATCCTAGCCACAGGCTTGAAAGCCTTACATGAGCTGGGATGGTACTGGTCTTCACTGTGCCTCAGTGTCCTTACCCTCTACTACAGAGCCTGACCTAAACTGGGCTCAATGTGTTCTCTCAACTTCAAAGAAATACATGCAGTACCCAAAAGTACCTAAGAGCTTCTTCAGTGATGAAAAGCAAGGATCCCCTAGAACACACACCCCAGTCACTTTCCAGAGCAACCATCATTTCATTTGAATTTTCTCTGCCTAGTCACCTTTTTTATCTCTACAAGCTCACAGACTCATTCTTGGTTTATCACTTGATACTACCACTTCCTGTCTTCCCATCCTCCCAACATCAGTTATTTTAGATCTGCTGATTTCTTTATAAAGAATAAACCTATGTTGTTATTTTTCATCAACTTCACAGTATCTTTTGACACCCCACAAAATTGATTTTAGTGCCCCTACTCTTCTACTCTTCCCTTCAGCTTTCCTCCCTGCCTTCTGCCTCCCCAAAACTAACCCATACTTTTATTTTTTGATAACATTTATATTGTCCCATAACCATAATCATGTTCACTAAATATTTATATGTTGTCTAAAAATTGAAAATTAATGGACCAAGTGCACATATTGTGACTGACTACTATTCACTACAGAGCCAGGAAATGTACCATAATTAACTTTTCTTTCTAATACAGCTTTTTGTTTTTCCTGGAGTTTGTAATTGCCTTTTCTTGCACCCTTTGGTTTTATCATAGTCCTAGTTGTCTTCAACCTCTACATCTAATCAACTACTGTATTAGGGCTTCCTTTTCTCAGACCTACTGCCTAGCACCCTCCATTCTCCTGCACCAATCTGAACTGATAGTAGACCTCTGTTGTATACATTTATCTCACTTCAACACATCAACTAACTTCCTAAAAAAAAAAAAAAGGAAGTAAATTTTCTGAGTCTTTCTATAGAGTCTAGTAGTTTGGCTGGATATAAAGTTCTAAGTTAAAAACCATTTTCGTCTGAATTTTAAAGGCATAATTGTTAACTCTGCTGCCAATCTGGGCTTCCTTCCCTTGTAGTATACTGGGCTTTGCCCTTCTGAAACATTTAGGAGTTAGTTGTTCCTAAATGTGTGATGAATTTTCACAGGAAGGCTCTTTGAACATCTATGGTGCTGGGCATTCAGCTGAATCCCTTTCAGCTCAGGGAAATTTTTCTCTTTTCCAAGTTCTCTAGTCTTTCTCCATGTCCTTTTTAGAATTCAGAATTGATTCTTTTCTATCAAGTTACATCTGGACATTTTGGTTTCACTTTCTGGGAATATTCTCTGTGTTTTGTTTTCCAATTCTATTTGTCAAAGTTCTTTCCTTCTGTCCAGGCACAATGGCACACAACAGCACTTGGGTGGAAGAGGCAAGAAGATCAAAAGATCGAGGCCAGCCTGGGCTACATAGTGAGACCCTGTCTCAAAAGCAAGGGCTGGGATGTAGCTCAGTGGTAGAGTGCTTGCCTAGCAAGGGGCTGGGTTCAATCCTTACCACTAAAACAAACAGAAAAAACCCAACTTTTTCTTTCTATGATTCTATTTTCAGCATCCTATTCTTGTTTTTGTTTTTCAGATAGGGTCTCATGTTTTTGCCCCCATCCTCCTGCCTCATGGCTTACGATTATAGGTGTGCACTACCAGGGCCATGTTTTCTCTTGGCCTGCCATTTGCATGTTGGCAGTTTTCTCAAGTGTCTGGTGATCCTAGGTCCTTGGTTGCCATGTTAGGACTTATTGCCTGGTGGAAATACTTTAAAGTGATCAGGCAGGAAC